CAAGAAAATTATAAATAATAAAAATATAAATTAATGTGCTTGTTTGAGCAACGATCTATACCCAATAAGAAGCCCACTTTACCTCGAGTCTGAAGAACTTAGCAAATGTCTTGTTTTCCTTTAACCATTTAATATTTAAACATTAGAAATACATTATCTAGACACTATTTTTATTATCCTAAATTAAAAGCATGACATATTTAAAGTTAGTTATTTATCCAATTATATTTCTTAATGAAATACTCTTTATATTTCGGGAATCTTATCTAAATGTTATATATTTTTCCTTTGTACTTAAATGGTAAAGTTATTTTCATTGAGGTCTCAGTCAAGGTCATTTAACCCATTGATAACCAGTTATATCTTTGCTATCAAGGGCGCTGTGAGGTAGAGTATTAACCCGTCAATATCTTTGGATTCCCAACACTTTCCTCATTCGATTTAAGTCTTTTCTGTTTACCGACAGCCACCGCCATCATCAGCAGCAGCTGCTTGAGCTTCCGCCATTTGCTCGTCGGCGGCTTCAAAAGCTGCCACGTTTCTTTGCCATGGCTGGTACTGTTGATTTTCACACAGATATACATATATACGTATATATGTACGTACTCGTACAATTCCAGCCCCCGTCAAGAAATTCTTTGTCCTATCCTCGGAGTAGACCAAAATGTTTACACATACGCGCGATTTTCTTTTAACAATTCATCAAAAGCGCTAAGCGCGCACAAAAACTTTGACACTCGACGTTTTCTGTACTTTTTATTTCGAGACCTAGGGCTTTTGAGGGGCATAGGAAAGGAAAGTTTTGTGACCAGGCGTCCCCTCTGCGTGTCCCGCCCGCCCATGGCTGCCATATCAATCATCGCCCAAAGTGCGTGCTGTTAGACACCTTTTGCAGGTGTAGGTGGAGGTGTAGGTGTTGGTGTCGGTGGGTGTGTGCGAGGCTTTAAAATATTTATTTTACCGTGTTGAAGGCTAAATACAATAACTCAAAGTGATTTGCCAAGGCAGAAAAGAGCCCGCCATTATTTGCATGTCCCCTCGTTACGCCCCACCATTTGCTTTAACCATGCATTATTTATTTGCCTGGGCGCAATTTATTTCGAGCACAATTTTCTGCAGACAATCGAGTGAGGAATTTGTAGCCGACGTTGGCAATTAGTTACCGTAATGGAATGGCTGGCAAATTTAAGCCGCTCGTGCAAAGTGTCTAGAAAACATACACATTTCATCGCAAAATAACACGATGAGGAAAACCAAAAGTTGCTAATTTAAGGAATGGTTAGCTTTAAGAAATTTAATTATGGTTCTCTTGGTCAGTAATTTTATAAGATTTTTCGTTAATCAAGATAGTATAAATATATATACTCTATAACAATTTAATAATAATATAATTATTATATTTTTGATAGATTAATTTTTTTAATAAGGTTTTCCTTTTAAGTTTGTTTTTTAAAATATTTTAAAAAATATAATTTCCCTTTACATTTTTTAGAACATTTTTTCATTAAATTTCTAACGTAACAATATTGCTAATTTCACATTAACGCACGACTAATTTTATGAATATTCATATTTTGGTACTAAAAAAACGGATTAATTTAAAATCAATCTCATTTCTATTTTATATATTTGTTATTCTACCCAAAAGTAGCCTTTTGCATTTGCATAATTATCTGCTCGGCCTGTTTTTGCACCATAATCCAAGTTCATCGTCAACATTGCGTATACGCAACGTGTGCACCACAACGTAAATATAGGCTTAACTTTATTTATTTGCTCTGTAGCCCTGTCATTTAATTAGTATAAACAGTTTTTAGGCTCGGCCTTGTTGTTGGGTCAATAAGCTGATTTAAAATTAATTACTTATTAAATGCAGCCTAAATCCTGCCCAAGTGCAATTTGCATGTCATATATACATAGTATATATATGTGTGTGTGTGTGTGCAGTTGATTTATGTAAATTAATTAAATAAACACCTGTGGCCAGTGGCATTTTGGATATGTGAGAAAACCTTGGGGGGTGATTCCCAGCACAGTTTGCCAATTAGGATGGACCGCCCGTCCCTGGGGTGACCCGAAAACGATAGTTCTGGGACAGTGTCTCTCGTGAGTTGGTGTAATTTGGCCCGCTCTCTAATTGCAAGTCCCTGATTTATATCGAGTGTCAACTGGAGCAAGTCCATAAATTTTTTGGAATTTTTTGTTGTTAGCTTTTTGCCTTGCGTGGCAGCGTCGCATAAGGGCACCGCGTTGGCTTATTCCCGGGCGATAAGTCCCTGGTTCCTCGAAGTCTGAAGTCTGCCCTTGTAGGCAGTCGAGTGTGCGCATGATTTATTTTCATTAAAAACTTCTTTCGCGGCTCCTTAAACACTGGCAGGCAGGTCCCCCCTTCGAAACTTTGCGCGCTCTCGCCGCGGAAAAGTGGAAAACTCAGCAGAACGATGGGGCGAAAATTTTTAATCTGCACATTACCAAGTTGCCAAGCAAAGCCCTTTACAATGAAGTCTTTGCATCGTTCGCTCTCTCACTCTTGAAAGTGCAATCATTAATTTTCGGCTTAATTTTTGGGTCCCAGCTAATAAGCGAAAAAAATGGGAATATAATTCAGAGCTCTGCCCTGGCCGTACTGCCCCTTCGTTGAGCTCGCAAAAAATGACTGCAAAATGTTGAACTCCGCCCCGAATCGAGGCAATTTATATAAGGCTCCGAAGACTAAATTCATTTGTTTGCCTGTCCCCCGGGAAATACGTGCGTGAAGTTGCACTATTGCAGTGGCAGATTGCAATGCCCCGGCACGCGATCATTAGTCAAGGAGCAGGAATTGCGGCCTGACACTTGATGAAAGTTGAATGGAACAGTTGCAAGTTGCACGGTTGGTTTCCATAATAAAAAGTGCTACGGAAAAAAGAGGGAACAAAATGAAATTCTAATCTGAAAAAGAACTTACCTTTTCATACACTAAATATTATTCCAAAGCTATTTTATAATAAAAACTTTCTGTCAGTTTAAGGTTTAAAATTATGTAAAATTATTCTCCTGTTTTTACTGAATTATATACACTCTAACCACAGTGCAGTTCTAAAGTGGAAATTAAAGTTTCTACCTTTTATCGACAGGTAGATTGAAATTGCTTTGTTATCGCGAACCCATCATCGGTGCCATGCAATTAGTAGCTGATTTACCTGAAGTCCAGCTCAGTCACCCCGCAACTTTGGTTTTTTCGTATCCTTCCGCTTTTCTCTCTGGAGTTTTCTGTGTTTCCATTGCGTGAGTTGTCAGGGCAATGGCAAATTAAAAGTTCCCATTTCTATTATTCCCAGTTCTATTAGACACGGAAAAGTTTGACTTGTCCAGGTGTCAGAGATCCGCAACTTTTTCGGGGCAATTGCGAAACTTTGATGCAGCAAAACTTCACATTCAGACGGCATTACGGTCGGCATATATAGAGTCCATTCTTTTGGACTACTTCGCTGCGACATAATTATGTGGCGGCAATTTGCATTGCGCCCTCCCTCAACACAATAACCATAAAACGCCGTAACAATTGAGCCAAAGAAACGTTGCAAACGAAGGCAAACAAAGCCTGGGCTGGGGGCAACTGTGCAGCAGTTATTTCAACACCTTTATGGCGGTGTTTCTACATTTGTTAGCCGCAAAGGAGCACTGGGAGAAAATTAATACTAAAAAACTTCAACTGTTTTAAAAGGAAGAATTTTTAAATTCGAAATTTGAAAAAGTATGGAAATATTTCTTAAAATTAGTTTAAATTTTAGTCTATAGTATTGAACATTTAGTATGATATGGGAATTTAAATTTAGCTTGATTTATATGCTTTTTTCCTTTTCAAACATAAATTTTTCCAGTGCAGACATACACTCGGACATGCTAGCCACAATGGCTTGGCTTTGGCTTTCTCTGCTGGCCAATGACCAGATGAGGTGGCTCTGCGGGCATGGATAGCACCTGCCGGCGGACCGACAAAGCAACCGACTGGCTGACATGCAAAACAAACGGTGTACGTGGAAATACATTTACAAACCGTAGATAGAAATCTACAGATAAAGCAAATTGCTGTGCTACAAAATCGTTAACTGTAATTTACCGCATTTGAAATGTTCTCCATTCTCCATATTCTGGCCGCTCGATTCTCCAGGCAGTTATGAGTGCTCGAGTTGGTATGCAAGTCGACTTTAATTGTATTTTTGTATTCAGTTTTTGGCGAAAATTGCCAACGTAATTGAGGTAATATAGCATATTGGAGGTGGATTATAATGGGTAGCACTTGAGAGCCACTTGCGAGCCCTGAATTAGGCTCTGGGCGGCTGCCAGAAATGGAAATGCAGCCCACATTAATCATACGCACTGTGGCCGTCAACGCTTAATTAACCCAAAGTGCAGTCCGCACAGCCAAGCACTTGAGTGGGATTCCGAATTGAAAGCGTGCCAGTTTCTGAGATCAGCAAATATCAAATGGTATATACTATAGAGCGAGCAAACAGCCCACAGACATCGTAGGGGATGCAAATGAAATCGGGCAGTCTCCCGGACATATCTCACAGCCAGGCTGTGTGCGTGTCTGCCTGAGTGCAATAAGTTTGCGGGCAAGTGTAATGCAGTGTCTGTCAAAAGTAATGAAACGCCTGGGAAACACTATATATCAATTGAAGCTGAGCAGCAGCTGACCAGAGCATATATCACAAGTAGAATAGAGACTGGTGGTGCTAGGGTATTATTATTAACTGAATATTTACTGCAAGAATTAATGCAATCTGTATAGAAATACTCTGACATCTCTAGGGATTTGTCAACTTAATTAGTTCTATAACAGCAAAGTGTAATCTCATAATATTATATCAAAGCCAGGGCAGAGCGACCACAGTGCAATTTGCCACCAAGTTCCGTGCACATTGCAATTAACCCCAGCGACACCTGTGCAATGTTAATTAGCGGACAGGCTTTGGGATTCTTGGGGAAGATTGTGGCCTCAGTTGGCCCTGGCTCTCTCGCCTCAACTCTTTGGGGTCAGATGTCAGTGTTGCTTGGTCGTCATTCGAAATTCAGCTTTTCAGTCGAAGGAACGTTTGGCCCTGTTTTTTCCACCAAAAATTTTTGCTTTGCCCCATAATATGCCCCGTCAACGTTCCGAGACTCGATCCTCTGGAAATGGATCGGTGCGCCGGCAGCCAAGCCATCGCCAAAGCAGCAGCCATGCGGTAAATGGCGGGAGCAGTAGAAACTTGCCTGCAGTGCAGAAGCCCAAGAAGGAAAACGTGCCAGTAGTGACCCCTACCCCGGCTCCGGCTGCAGAGGCCAAGGGTCGAAGCACGGGCGATATGTTTAAGGATATGGCCACCACGGCTGCAGGCGTGGCTGCTGGATCTGCAGTTGGTCATGCCGTGGGCGCTGGCGTCACAGGTATGTTCAGTGGGCGTGGTCAGTCTGGAACGGCGCAGCAGGAGCAGCAACAGGCACCGCAGCAGCAGCAGCAGCAGGAATCTGAAGTCAAAAACATACAGCAGCCATATCGTAGCCATCAGCTGGTGGAGGATGGACCCTGCGCCTTCGAACTGAGGCAGTTCCTCAAGTGCACCGAGGAGAACAACGACATCTCGGTCTGCAAGGAGTTCAATGAGGCCATGCAGCAATGCCGTCGTCGCTACAATGTCTGAGGAGAAGCAGGGATCTATGAGATGGATGTAGAGATCACAGCCAATTCTTTATAAAAGTGAATCTCTGTAACAAGCTTATTAAATTACAATGAAAGTTTTAATGATAAAGATTTATTTAAATAAAAGAATATTGTAAAAGGAACCACTTAAATCGATCTACAGAACAGTGTCAGGTTAGGTATCTGAGTTCTATAAACCTCTAGGATCTCTTCCTTAATTTATTGCTATACTTAAGTAGTTAATTAATGAAATTTATTTGCTGGTTTTGATTTACTTTCGTTCTCTTATTTTTCTTTATAATTCGTATTCCAACAATTTTTCACCACTGCCACTCTGGAGTGCATGAAAGCAGCCTTGGCAGAGGCAAATTAATTGGCGTTATGCGGGCAGCCATCAACAAGAACTCATCTCCTCATCGCCACATCTCCACATCTCCCATCTCATCAGAGTTCCAGGCCATCCATCTTGCTTGCCGAAACATTATTGATGTTGATTGATTTATAAACATTTGCTGGGAATGAAGTAGCTGGCGTTGCGGCGAGGAGTAGCAGGGGAGCGGGCCAATTAAGTTGTAGCCAAAACAATAAACAAAATGAAATTAGCATTCCGAGTCGAGTCTTCTGAATGCTCGCCTGCTCTCCACTCGAATTCTTCCCCGAAGGAGGCAGGAGACGACTGTGGGCCCCAGCTGCTGTCACATCTATTCACATGACAGGCCGACAGAATTTTCAGCGAGCAAATATAATTTGCTTAAATATTCATAACGGGGTGAGTGGAAATTGTATACGGCTGATTAACATGGCCCCCAAAAAGGCAGAGGGCGGAGATGTATGAAATTGGGCCGAGTTTTCCCCGAAAGCAGCATCAATCAAGCGGCATTTGCAGCGGCCTGACTTTCCTCTGCGGTTGGCTATAATTTAATGAAATATTCCGTTTGCCACATGAACTCGCTGCCAGCACTCTGCATATGTATATGTATTTCTGGCGAAGCCTAATTCGAATTAGGCCCAACATTTTGGCTGGCAGCTCGGCTAATTGCCGCTGAGTTTTCGCTATGTTTTCATTTTCATTTTCATTTTTCCCCCTCAACCACTCGAAAAGCTAAAAATAGTCATCCCGAAGAACTATTGCATGCTCGCTGCTAATTTGTGGGAATCGAGCCAGTGTGGCAACTCGATAAGTTTTATCGCCCACATTTTTCAAACAACCGGGCTGTTAAAGTTACGATCCTGCCAAATCGCTAATATGCGATAGGACCTAAAAAAGACCACAAAAATTCGCGAACAGGATTTTTGCAAGCCACGGTCACATTGGATCCCCTCACTTCCGTTCTCTTTCTCACAAGGCGTCCCCGAGTTCGGATTAATTTTTGTCGATCCTAAATCCGCAAGCATCGTGTCGATCCGACAGTATTTGTTAAAGCGAATCATACCCATATTAAGTAAATTTAGTGCTCTAACGTATATTGGTAAGCTTGTGTGAATAATCGATCGCCGGAGTGCTAATTTTGCCTTTTCAAAACAGCGTCAGCCGTATCGGCAGAGTCGTCCAAGCGACCGGCATTGTTTTTGCCAGCAATTGCCCACCACGTGAGGTGGCAGTCATTTGTGGCATTCATCGTTGGCATTGTCTGTGGCTTCTCAGCGGGATCAACGCCACGTGTCATCGGAGCATTCGCACGCACAGCGTGGGGCTGCGCTTCCCATTTCGGCGGCCATACACGTGCCGATTGCGGTGATCCTCGATTTGGATTTTCTTTACCGCCTCGCTAACGTGTCACCGTTCCCTCACACGGCGCGCATATTGGATCGCCGTTCCCTCACACGGTGCACATATTGGATCACCGTGCTTTTCTTCGGCGCACATATTGGATCACCGTGCTTTTCTTCGGCGCACCTATTGGATCGCCGTGTGTCTTTTTCGTGGCCACATCGTTCTTTGCCACATCGCCGTGCATCTTTGCCACATCGCGTGCGCTCTGCCGCATCCACACCTTGGCGGGCTGGTCTCGTTCCGCTCACGCCTCACGCAAGGGATTGCGGCCATCCCTGTCGCACATAGTGCGTGTCATCTTCATCAGCGCGAACGACGGAAGTAGCATTACATATCCGTATTGAGAGCTGGTGGCTGATCCGGCCCACACTCTGCTCCAGGAGCGGATAAACATGAATGATAGTGTCTAAAATATAATTAATTTTGCATATAGGAGCTTTTGATTTAAGAATTCGTACTTATAAACCTTTTCGGTCGTAATTTAGCAATTTTTTTTTGGGGAGATTTGGCAATTATAATATCGTTTTGTCCCTCAAATAACTTAAAACACATACAGCTACACATCACCAGTCATCAGGCCTGCTGACGTCGATGGAGAAAGCGTGAGTACGGCCTAGCCGCAAAACAACAAAATAAAACTGAACCCATCCTTATAATTTCGCCAAGATTTCTGAAATAGTTTGCACATCTTAATTAATTAATTGATTCAAAAGAATATTAATAAGTTAATCTATTTAATATAAAGTAAAAAAGGAAAAAGCGTTCTTTCTTATCTTAAATTTTATTTCCTTTCATTGGATCTAAAACAAACTGACTCAATAAGAGGTCTCGTAACGTAAATAACGTAAACTTAGGCTTAAGGATTAGATTTAGGAAAATGTCTTTCAATATTATCTCAGCCTGCAATTATATGACTTTGAAAATGAACTAATTTGATATCTTGTTGGGCACCTAAGGGGATGTAGAGCATTGGTTGTATAAGGGTGGAGCCTGAATGGACTTCACAGGTTGGGAGGGTTTAGATTGAGGCCAATAACATCGGAGCCTCATCTTCAATAGGTACACTTCCTTCGTCTGATTCATATTATTTACCATATCCCCAGCTAGAGTATCTCTGTCTACAATATTAGTTATGTAGCACCATTGTTCATGTCAACACAAAACCCACGCCCATTTTCCCTGAGCCTGCCGAGCAGAAAAAGTAGACAGAGCGTGTTGAGGTGGACAACGCTCGGTGAGTGTGTTTGTTACATAATTAATTGGCGCCCAAACGTTAAGGCCAGCCCGATGCCTGATTAGGCACCTGTCGTTTGACAGCCGAGCTTCCCGTTAATATTCAAACCATCCACTTCTAGTTTCCGTTTAGTATTTCAAATTCTGTCCTGGAATTGATGGCATCTGGATAGGTTCGGAGCCATACCGGAGGGAAACGTAATACTTTTAACTGTTTTTTTTCTATCAGTTCGGTAATAATCGAACATTATAGTTAAAAGAACATTCCAATTTGAGTAATTGATTCCTTGGAATTATAGTTCTGATTCAAAGTCGGTTCTATACCAGGATTTCAATATTCAAACACTACCTTCTTATCAGTTAGGATCGAGATTTTATCTGGCTGGATAGATTCGGCTAGTTACTCTTCTAATTGGTAAGACAAAATAAATTGATATTTATTTTACTACCCTTTATTTACATTCCGTTTACAACATTTGTACCTATTGAATGACACAACCAATTGCTATACTACCCAGGGTAAGACCTAAACTGCATTTCTCATTTATCGTATATCGTATTCATCTCGAACGACCAGTTTGTTTTCGTTATATCGTATCTTATCTTATCTTACCGTATCTCATTTCGTTTTTTTGTTTTATATTTCGAAAAGCGTCAAAAATGTTGACACACAGCAATGAAAATTTAGTAGATCTTCAGACTGATGAGTCTGCAAATTGCATCATCTGCAACGGACCAGTGTGTAATCTGGATTTACTTGAAGCCCGTTGCAAGCATTCTTTCCACAAGCTTTGCCTTGACAATTATAGCAAGAACAACGACAAATGCCCCAGGTGTGGCCAAACTTTCTCTCAACCCGAGGTAGGACCTCATTCGGCTCCTCTTAGTAGATCTCAGGGACACAAGGTACAGACACGTTCAGCGTCGCGAAATGCGGCAAAGCAAAACGGTGGTTCTGAGCAAAATTCACTGCAGGAAATTCGTAGCGAGGGTAACTCAGACTCGAGGGTGGTAACGGAAGATCACGTGGAAAAATTGATTCAGAAGTCAATGCAGACCTTCCAAGCTAACATGCTGCAGTCAGTTACAGAACAAATAACTTTGGCGTTCACACAATTGAATAGGTCCACATTTGCCAATAATGGACAAGGTGAGCCGCAGCGAGATTTCAGTCGAGACGGTTCCGATGCCAACTCAGATCGAAACAACATTCAACAGGCTAGGAATTCACCAGATTTTCGCAGTGATCGAAGTGATCTCTCTCTGGATCGACCAGACAGAATTTCGAATATTATATCCAATTGGCGTATTAAATTTAGTGGTTCAGCTAACGACATTGCTATAGAAGATTTTATTTACCGTGTCAATTGCCTCACTTCACAATGCCTGAACGGCAACTTTGAACTTCTCTCCCATTTTGCTAACTTACTGTTCGCAGGCCCTGCATTAGCCTTTTACTGGCGCGTTCATAGATCGGCAGATAACATGAATTGGAACTTGCTTTGCAGGCGTTTAAAGGAAAGATATCAAGATCAGAGATCTGATCGTGAGATTAAATGTGCCATGCGTAGACGCAAACAGGGTAACACGGAAAATTTTGATGACTTTTTGGATGCAATGCTTTCCATCGCAGATTCCCTTCGTGAACCAATGCAGGACAGTGAAATTGCGGTAGAAGTTCGTCATAATCTCAGACCGGAGATCAAGCACGAATTATTGCACATTGACACCCCAAACTTAGCAACATTGCGAAAGGAGTGTCACAGGCACGAAGAATTCTTTCTTAACACCCGAATGAAGCCCATTCAACGTTCGAACCCAAGCAAGCGTTTCGTTAACGCAATTCTGCAGGAAGAAGATTCAGAATCTCAGTCGGAGGAAGAACGTGAGGTCGAGGATGAAATTTGTGTAGTTAAGACGGCTGAGAAAATTAAGTGCTGGAACTGTGAGGAAACAGGCCACAGTTACCACAATTGCCTTAAACCTCGTCGTATTTTTTGTTATGGTTGTGGAACACCGGAGGTGTATAAGCCCAACTGTGCAAAATGTAATTCGGTTTCGGAAAACCCCAAGAAGGACATTCGTTACGCGAAGAAAACGGATGTCCGCCGCTAGCTTCGAAAATACCAACAGAAC